GATATGATGCCCCCGTCGGCGTCTTCCAGCTTCTTCGTGCTGAACCTCCACCCCGGCGACCGCGGCGAGGTGAGCAAGGTCAGGCTCTCCGACGAGTCGATCGTGCTCGACTCCGTCGAGGCGGAGCGGCTCGGGGATCTGCTGCGCGCGATCAAGAGCGGCCTGCCACGACGCCCGCTGTTCAGGCTCACCGTGCTTCAGCTGCGCGAGTTCTGGAACATGGCGCTCGAAATCCTCGGCATCCCCGACGAGTGCGTGCTGTGCCAGCTGCGTCAGGGGGGCCCTTCCCACCACCGTCTCCAACGCTGGCGGTCTCTACCGGAGATCAAGGGGCGCGGGAGGTGGGCTTCCGACAAGTGCGCCAGGCGCTACGGGGCGCACGCGCTCATCCAGCAGCAGGAGGCCACTCTGCCAGCCGCCGTCGTCAAGCGAGCCAGGGGCGCCACAGGACAGCTCGAGCGGCTCCTGTGCGAGAGCCTGGGCTGCCAGCGCAAGCGCGGAGCCAGCGGCCAGGGCCTCCGCGGGCCCAAGGCCCGCCGCGGCGTTTCGGGCCGCCGCCCGGCCTCGGATGCGCCGTCCCGCCTTTCGTCGAGTCCATGTGCGGGTCCGCCAACCTCGCCAGTGCGGTGGGCGCGCGCGGGCTGGCAGCCGAGGGCTGGGACTGCGTCGACGGGGCTCCAGCCGACCTCGCAGACCCGCAAGTGATCGCCTGCTTTCGTCAGCGCATTGTGTCTAGACAGCTGTGTGGTCTGCATCTTGGCCTCGACGGTGGGACCTGGTCCATCGCCAGAAAAAAAAAAACGACGGGCTGGGGCCGCCCCCGTTTCGCAGTGGCGATTGTTTTTTTGGCCTCCCATCCCTCTCAGCAGCGGACCAGTCGAAGGTTAATGAGGCCAACCTGATGTTGTCGCACGTCCTGAGTCTGATCGAGGCTGCTGCCGCCGCTGGCCTTTTCGTTTTGCTCGAGAACCCAGCCTCGCCCAAACTCTGGCTCGTGCCGCAACTTCTTGAATTAGGAACCCGCTTCAATGCAAAGTTTCAGCGAGTGGACTACTGCCAGTATCAGGTGCCCTGGCGGAAGGCCATACCTTCCTGTCTTTCCTGGGCTAGCTAATGTTCTCCGTGTCTGTGATGGTAGTCAGGCGCGCTGCAGCGCCACCGGTAAAGCTCACATCACCTTGCGAGGGAAAGACTCGCAAGGGTTGTTTTGGAGGTCTCGTGCCTGCCCCTATCCTCCTGCCCTTTGCTCAGTCCTGGCGGAAGCGATCTGCCAACGAGCCAAAACACTCCTTGAAGGTGGGTAGGGGCTTCAGTTCTTTGAAGGCAGCGAGCTGCCAACTCTCGAGCCGCCCACCAAATGGGCGACGCGATTCGCTACTGCAGACATGGCCATAATCTTTCGGCCCTGGCAAAAAAGTGTTTGGGCATCGTCACATCTTGGCATGGAGTTGAGCGTTGATCATGTGTGGAGCTAGCTCTTGAATGATCCGTGGCACGAATATGCCGATGCTTTCCATGGCATATATTGATCATTTTTTTTTTGCGGCCCCGCCGTCCTTCCCCTTTCTTCTCCTTCCGTTTTTTCGCCCTGTCGGGGCTTCAGTTCATTGAAGGCAGCGAGCTGCCAACTCTCGAGCCGCCCACCACATGGGCGACGCAATTCGCTACTGCAGACATGGCCATAATCTTTTGGCGCTGGCAAAAAGGAGTTTGGGCATCGTCGCTTTTTGGCGTGGAGTTGAGCGTTGATCATTTTTTTCAGGAGTTGGGACCCCCCCCCCGCAGGTTTCACATAGCTAGTTGTATCTGTTATCTTGGGCAACCTAGCCCGCTCGCTATGAGACGAGATTGGGGTATTTTGTATTATCGTGCCTGCTCCCGTTTCTTCTCGTTGGCCCTCCGCCTCCGCCTCTTCTCGTTTAGCTGTGTCATCTATTCGTCAGCGTTTGCGCTGCAGTGGTCATGTGAGTGCCCGGACCGACAGCTGACTAGCTGTCGGGCGATGACCTTTGTGGCCAGCGCGCCGTAGACAAACGCAATATTTGTTGACGTTCGTCTGTTCGATACCGTATGTTGGCGCTCGAGCTGGCTAGCTGCTTGTGTCTCGCGCTCGGCGTGCAGGTGTTGTCCCCGTCAGTGCAGTTTCCCTCCTTTCCTCCTCCTCCTCCTCCTCTTCCTCCTCCTCCTCCTCCTCTTTCCGCTTTTGCAGGCCGTAATTCGTGACATTTTCGTTGCGTGTTGCAGCCTTCGCAGGCCGTCCCTTCAATTTTGGGTGTACCAGCCGATCGGCGATTTGAAGCCTGTCCCCAGTGAAACTTCTTATTGCCTGCTCAGCTTGCCTGTTACTGTTGCCATCTATCGGCCACGTTCGCCGTCCCCCTGCTTGCTTGCCTGCCTGCCTGCTGCTCTCCTCCCTTCTTAGGGCCCGGAGTCCGCGCTGGTGCTCAGTCTGAGTTTACCCACCGGAAGCAGGGACAGACTCAGTGCTCAGTTGTCCCGGCGGAGGTGCCGCATCCTCCTCCTCCTCCTCCCCCTCCTCCGTGGCTGGCGTCCAACCGCGGCCTTCTAATTAGCCAGCCACCCAGTTTCGCTTCTCGTATTCTGGCCTGCGGTCGGCGCAGGGGGAGTTCGTTTTTGTTTTGGGGTATGCCCATGAGTTTGCCTATTGCAGGTCGGATCTCTGGGTGTTCCTGGCATGTCTGGTGCCACATATGAAGCATATTGCCTATCCCCCCCCTCCTCCTCCTCCTCCTCCTCCTCCTCCTCCTCCTCCTCCTCCTCCTCCTCCTCCTCTCCTTTTCCCCGTCTCACCGATACGATTTTAGGGTAGATTCGGCTCGTGCCGCGCTCGCACGTTTTCCCTGAGAGCCTTCTCCTGAGCAGTGGCGGTGCCGTCGCTGTGTGTTGGCTCCGTGTATGCAACCTACTTTAGCCTTGACCACCAGGGCACGAATCATACATATATTGCCAAGAGTAAAGTTCGCTTAGCGGACCCTATTCGCAACGTTTGTTTCTCTTCCTTTCTCCCCCAGTCTGGGTCAGGGGCCGTTGCCCGCAGGCCGTGGGGGTGTACAGCCTCAACTCCGTTGGCCCCGACGAACGCAAACACCCACGCCGCTATTGTCGCATCGCACGAAACGGTTGGCAAGCCGTGCGCCGATGGTCACCTTCGCCCTGGGTCACTCTTGTCTGCAGTCGGCAGAGGCAAGCGTTGGGCCGTCGCACGAAGCCAGCGGTAACTGTTGCGACCGCTTGGACGAACCTGCGCCTTGCTGCCGGAACACCAAAAATTGTCGACGGCGCGTTTGGCGAGGAGGTTAGTCACGTGAATCTTTGCTGTTCGCTCCCATCCTCTCTCTCCAACAACAGAGAGCTGGATACACATGTGTCCAGACGTGTTTATGGCGCTCGGTCCCTCCGTAACAGTGGACGCCAGCCTTCTGCATGTCTACTTTTCGGTTCCAGATCTCCGATGTCTGCTTCGCCTTCGACGTGACTCCCAGCGCCACACGGTGCCCAGTTAAACAGCAGGACGGACACCATCTAAACCAGCGGCCCCCCTCACCCTCTCATCCTTCCTCCGTCTTCGACTTCTCCGTCCTCATCCGTCTCCGTTCCTCTTCGTTCCGTCGAAATTTTAGACCCAGAACCGAGCCGTAAGAGGCGCAATCTACGCATCCTTTTCGCGTCTCGCACGGAAGGGTGTCGCTTGACAGAATCCTGCAAACTGGGGGGTGGCTCCACCGCCATCCACCGCAGTGCCGCTGCTGCGCGCTCGGCGCAGGTGTCCGACGGCAAATCGAGCTTTAGCGGCGATCGCCGTGTGGTCTTCAAAGGCCCTCCTAGCGCGTGCAAGTGTGCGTGATCGGTCACGGAGATTGAGAAAACCGTTGTCGGGCGCCTCGGCATAACCACATCTTTGCAGGGTTTGTTCAATAGAGTGTGCATGAAACGTGCGGCACTCGCCGTTCGTCTAGGGATCACTTCGACCCCGTGTCACGCTTACCAGACCCAGTGTCGTCACGCAGAGGCTGCGCAGAGCTTGCTGTCGTGGAGAGACCAGGCCGACAATGCCGCATCGCTGGCAGTGTTCAAGGCATTGGCAGTCCCAGCTGCATCGGCATCGCCGTGGCCTGCTCAGCTGGCACAGGTCTTGGACTCTCGGACAGTGCTCTGGGCAACAGGCTGGCGCAGGTGCAAAGTCTAGACTCGCAGGCGACGCCTTCAAGTTGTGCGGGAAAGGTTGCTGGCCACGAGGTCTGTTCAGGGAGACTTGGTGGTGTTGCCCTATCCCGATGCGCAGTTCGACTCGGTCCAGGCATCGAGACCCTTGGCTCATGTTCCAGATCTGGAACAATAGGCTATCGATGAGACGATTCCTGTGCTGAGGAGAGGTGGCGTCTGTGCCATTAGCCAAGGGGGAGCGCTGGAATCTAGCGTGATTCTGAGTAGCGATGGTCGTCTACTGAGGGTCAACAAGGCACTCCTGGGCCATGTCGCGAAGATGTGCGCGAATTCTCGGGCAGTGTCAGAGGCATATGGGGTACATCGTAAGCCATGCCGATGCGCAGGATGTTTGTATCGAGCCTTTCTTCTCCTTCCTTCAGAACGCGGCCGACATGATGAGCCCCGGACTGAGGCCCGAGAGACAGCTTCTGGCTAAGCTCGTGTCCGAGGACGCCTTACCCCAGGAAGACGCAGATTATTGCTAAGGTGAGGTTGCTGGTCGATCCGCCCAGGAGGGACATCTTCGTCTGTTGCTGTCTGTTGCGGAAGCTCTTTTGCAAAGACAGCAGCGTCTAGTTCTCATACAAAGAAAAGCCGACCTCACTCCTCCTTGACCCACAACGTGAAGCGTGATAGTGTTGTCGGTGCCCAAGGCTCGCATGTTTCTCCCTCCCATCTGAGATATCAGCCTGGGTGGGAGCAGCCCAACCGGACGCCAAAGCGGGCCAGGGAAATTCAGAAACTGCCCCCCCCCCCCCCCCCCCTCGGGAGGAGACCCCTTCCCCCCGCCTCGCCTCCCCTGGTTCCTGACCTGGGCGGCCTTTGCCTCCTTCTCTTTCTTCTCCGTCGAGGCTTCAAGCTCAAGGCCCCACTTCCTGTTGGGCATTGGCCAACAACAACCTTCATCCCTTGTTCTCGACGCTTCGCGTTCACCGCCCGCCCATTCGAGTTCTCGCTGGAAGAGACGCCGATGGCGCCAAGACGGGATGACAATACTTCGAACATGGTGACAGACTCTCCCACAGGTGTGTTTTGCATTATTTCCAGGTCTCCATTTCTCGTCCATCCCATTGCCGATTGGTCTCAGGTATGCCGTGTGGCTGATCGATGCCGAGTTCGTCGATCAGTCGTCGGCCCGCCATCACTACCAGCGGATCAGTGGTATGGACGCTGGCTCTCGTGACCCTTGCCCCCAAAACTACAGCAGGAGGCCAGAGATAGCCATAACACTGCTGGAGACCAGCCGAAGACGGCCCCGAAAACGACCCAAGAGGCACCCACAAGGGCCGAAGAGAGCCCCGAGAAGGACCCAAAAGGAGGCCAAGAAAGGCTCAAGGCGGCCTCAGGGAGCTCTTGGACGGCCCACGCGACAGCACCTCCGAATGGGGCCACAACCTCGTTTGAATTGTATAAAAGCTCGGGCCAGTTCTGGGCCGTACTGTTTCTGGCCCCGTTTTGGAACCCAAATTGGGTCCAGACTCATCTGATCTTGACCCCAGAGCGCGCCCCAAAACGGGTCGAGCTTCGCATGTTGCCCCAGACGAGCCCGAACATCAGCCACACGAGACGTCCATGCGACACTTGGCGAGGCGAAAATAATGAAACAACAATGAGTTTACCTACATTCTGACGCTTCGAGTTTGTAGACGAAGTTGGGCCCACGAGGTGTTCTTGACGGCCCAGGGAACAGATTTTGGGCACCAAGAAGGGGCCTCGAGGGGGTCACAATGGAGCCAACATGAGGTCGAAAGCGCGTGGAGAACATCTTGAAATTCGAACTCGTCTTGGACGCCGTTTGGAAGCCGTCTTGGAATTGGAGAAGGGTGTCGGCCGCAGCTGGGCGGCGGAATGTTCGTCAGCGTGGGCCCTAAACGGTGGGTTCTAGCATACCGTGTCTTGCAGAGTGGTGCCAGCTGTGTGGTGCCAGCTATGTGGTGCAATCTATGTTGTGGAGGTTATGTGATGCGTTGTACGTGGTGTCAGCTACGTGATGTAAACTAGGTCGTGCGATCTATGTGGTGTAAGCGGTGCCAGTGATTTGGTTTAATCTATGTTGTGCCGTGTAATATTGTGGTGTGAACTATGTGGGGCAATCTATGCGGTGCAGTTGTTTTTGGACACACGGGTTGGCACATTCCATGCTTTTGCAATCACCCCACCCATTCACCCGCAACTTGGTTTGCAAAACCCATGCGGCGGCGATTGCGATGAGTGTTTGGCGTTGGCTGGTGCATTTTTAGCGGCCGCGCTATCCCGAGCATGCTCGCGCGCACAGCGGCCATTTAGTTTGGCGCGACCGACGCGGCCGCGGTGGCGCTGACCGTTGGGCGTTTCCCAACGGACACTTCAGTGCGATTCGGTGGCTTGGGCGGGGGCGGTATCATGGCGACGCCGACAACGGTAGGCACGATTATGAGAGTAGCGATGATGGTGGAGATGGTGGCGATGACGACAGCAAGGCCAATGACAGTGCCGATGTTGACCACGCCCGCCGAGAACGATGACGATGCCCTCGCGTCAGCGATGGAGGTTTTTGACAGAGTGCGACATGCGTGCGCGGCCGACGCGCGCGGATAGACCGACTGGCAAGGTTTGACGCGGATTGTGCCCCCCCCCCAGCACGCGTGCAAGGGGGCGTTCGAATGAGTTCGACATGTGGCGCGGGAGGTCCGTTTGGCAGAATTTGATGAACAGGTTGGAAGATCGATGGCTGCCTTGCGAAATATTTACATATTATATATGCATTCGATTGGCATGCACGCGAGTGCACTTCGTTCCGTTTGTCACAAAGGAATCATGCGACAGTATGCGCGCAACGGGCGTTCGAACGATTTCGACGCGCGCGCGAGAAACCGATTTGGAAGCGTTTGATGGCACTGTTGGGGAAGCGATGGTTTATTCGCCAGGTCGCCAGAGCATTTTTCCCCTTTTTCCCCTTTTTTCATATGTTTTTGTGGCGCTCGATTCTACAATCCCTGAGCAACCGTGGATTGTTGAAGGATTTCGGCATGCGCGCGCGACGACGCGAACGTGTGCACGTTGCCATTTTTTTGGTCGGTCTCATAGAAACCGATGGTATCTGATAAACGAATGTGCGCGCATACCGTTTTTTGTAAGGAACCACCCGGCGGGGGTGCGAAGTCCGGTCTGCTTGGGATGTGCGAATTCATATTTCGGATGGATGATGGGACAGAACCGCATGTATATTGTAATGCGACGAGGTGTGCTGTTAATCCGGGGGGATATTTTAATACGTTTAACGCTGAGAAGCCGAGGTTGACCATTTTATGTTGTGCAATGCGCGCGATGCACTTGTGTTGTGCAAGCTATGCGATGTAAGCGATGTGTTGCAATCTATGTGGTGCGGTTTATGGGATGTGAGCAGTGTGGTACAACCTTTGTGGTGCAATC